TGACATGAAAGGACCCTTTTTTACGTCCTACGCCTTTCCCGCCAGTTCGGATGATCCGGCGGGAAGGTTGTTTACTGGGCTCCATTCCGGCTCACCATCTTGATCCATATGGCCTCGTGCTCCCAACAGGACGTCCTACGGGCGAGGCCACAGACGGGTTCTTTCCTGGTAGATTGGGGGAGCTGGTCTCCACAGTCCGCACCCATCTCCAGAGCAGGGGTTCACTGAGCGGAAAGTCCCTCCGTGCCCTCTGGAGCCGAGCCTGATGGAGGCTTCATTGGAGTAAGATGTTCGAGATGGACCAGCGTCTCGTGCCTCCGGTTAGCATAACCGAGACGGTGACACCGCTCTCCAACTGAGCTCACCAGCATGTGTTCCACACGGCTGCAGCAAACAACACGTTACGCTGTTGGCGTACATGTTCAGAGGCGAGAAGAGATGGTGGCCCTCTGTCCTTCGGCTCACTCCGCTCTCGTAGCAGCTGCTTGCTAACGACGCTGCCACCCCCTGCAGTACGCTCAGTCTACAGGTCAGCTGACGTCATCCTCAACTGGTGCGCCTCTTTTGCTGTCTGCCGCCCCACATCGCAGCCGGAGAACTAGGTCCCAGAAGTTCTCCTGGCCCGTCACTCCACCTTCCTCTCAGGAGAGATGCAAGAGTCCGTTGGTGATCCTCTTTTCATCAGCTAGAGATCATTTCAAGATGCTCCACAGCTGCTCCATGGCTGCTCAACGCCTCCCCAGCTCTGCTACGCCAGCCCCTCCCGTCAGACGTCCCCGGCAGCCGGAAGTTCTTTTTTTTTTTTTCCTGGACTTCGCCAACAGGGGGCCCTCCAGGACAACAAAAAGAGCTCAACGGAAGGTAACTAGGTGTCCGGTCGCTGGAGGTGTGTTGATGACACTGCGAAATAACATCATTTTATGATGAAGTGTCTCTTAGCCAGGCTGTCAGCATGGTTTATCTGACAAGCGGCTCCATCACACACAGTCATCACGAATGAGCCTTTCTTAAGGTTGTTTTCATTCACTGTCAGCGGTGCCGATGCGCGCCCCCGCGGCATGAAAGTGCGCACGCAGCTCTCAATTTTCTGAGCTGTGAGAAAGAACACTCCATTATGCGCTCGAGCCGCTTTAATTCTGCGTTATCTGGACACCTGCTGCTGAGCAGCTTGTACAGACAGGGGGCAGCAGTGCAACTCACGTGAATCGGTTGAGTGATATCAGCTGTTTTCCGTCAGCAGATCTACGTCACACACATTTAATAAGCTGTGGAGCCGCTGTGGCTCCCCACACAGCAGCCTTTTAAATGTTTTTGGAGTGTCGCACGGGATCTTTGAACGTGACTCAACACTGACCTTGAGCTGCAGAATCATCAGAGTTTGTGATTCTCAGACAGCGAGTGACTGTTGCATACATACTAGCAGGAAATGTATGCATTTTTTTCAATCCATGTGCCACATCGTGAGACAGATGCTGTGTGGGACACATCCAATCTGTTCTCCATTGGAGTGGGTACATCTCATGTATTCCACCCAGAACTAGGACTCAGACACGGTAGAATCCTGCCAGCATCTGCAGACGTGTAGCAACACGAGAGAACGCTCAATGTCAATTATAATTAGCGTGGAGCCATAGGATGATCCACCGCTGGGTGGACGTCCTGCTCACAGCCTGTGGTCATAATGCCTTTCATCTCCTTCTCTCACTCTGGTATCACAGTTTTCTGAACCGAACTCAGGAGGAGGGATTGGCAACTCCCCTGTCCCAAGTGCGTGAACGCATCATGGTTCCCAGGCCTACGACATTTTTTATCAGGGCGCTCGTGGAACCTGCCGTGGAGGGGGGACGCTTCCCTCCAGGCGGGAGGAACGATCAGGAATTAATCAGAATAGGCCAGCACCTGTGGTTTGGCTGCTGTGCAGATCTTTGAGAGGATGGATCTCTTGCAAGATGTAGTGCGTACAATTCAGGAGTCACGTGCTGCATCCACCACAGAGCTGTTCACATCAAGTGCTCAGTTTTCCAACGCTGCTGTACAGAAAGGCGTAGAGGCCACTTCATGTCCACTGGAAGACATGCTGTCTTTCTGCAGCAGCCGAAGGACAGAAATCTGGTGTCCAGCACGACTATTGTATGCTGCAACCGTGTTTTTCTTTTGTCTCAAAGTTGTCGTAGACAGAACAACCTTTAATCATCCTCTGACGGAGCATTTGTCTAAGATTGATATAGCGGCTGTGGGCCTGTTGTGACACGGGAAACGTTCAGTGTCAATTATGCGCTTCTCTGAGCCCATGAAACGAACCACCGCTGGGGGGTGGATGCGTTTGTCCACAGTCCATGGCCCAAAATGCTTCTGAACGCGTTTTTTCTCCACCTCCTCTGATCTTATGGTTTTTGTACCAAGCTCAGGAGGAGGGATTGACAGCTCTCCTGGTGGCCCCGAGCGCGTGGGTGCACCATGGTTCCCAGTCCTGAAACGCCTGCTGTCGGGGTGCCCGTGGGAACTGCCGTAGAGGGAGGACGCTCTCCTTCCAGGCAGGAGGAGCGACCAGGAGTTACCCAGAAATAGGCCAGCACCTCTGGGTCTGGCCACTGAACAGATCCGCTTAGAGAGGATGGGTTGCCCACAGGATGTAATGCGCACAATTCAGGTTTCTCGTGGTGCATCTACCACAGCGATGTACACATCAAAGCGGACAGCTTTTCAGTGCTGATGTACAGAGAAGGATGTAGAGACCTCCTCATGTTCTTTAGGTGGCATGCTGTTCTTTCTGCAGCAGCTGATGGACAGAAATTTGCATCCAGCACGTTTGAAACGTATGCTGCAGCCATCTCTTCCTGACATGAAGGTTTCTGAGACAGAACAGGTTTTATCATCCGCTGATGAAACGTTTTCTAAAAGGTGTACAGAGACGCAGGTCTTTCTCACACCCACTTGTTTCCAGTGGGATTTAATACTGGTCCTGCAGGTCATGATCAAAGCTTCATTTGAGTCTTTGGATCAGGTTCCACTTAAATTCTTGTCTCTTTAAACAGCCCTACTGCTGGCTTTAACATCCACTAAGAGAGTGAGTGTTTTGTCTGCCCTCTTTGTCGCTCCGTCATGTCTCAGAAATTAGGCTGACGGCAGATCAGCTGATTTTAGATCAACCCAGCTTTTATGCCTAATACATCACGAGCTCTTTTAATCAAGAGCGATATCGTTGGAGGGGTCGTCCCCCCCCCCCCCCCTTTCACACAGATCAGAAGAAGTAACGTCTTTCTATCTTCTCTGTCCTGTGCGGGCATTGACGTGTTACATAGCGTGCACAGCTGCAATGCGTCAACATTTGTTTGTGCATTATAGAGATGTATCTGCAGGTCGCCCGTTATCCACCCAGCGCTTGTCACACTGGCTGTGCGAGACTATTTCTGAAGCCTACAGAGCATCAGAATTAGAGTCTCCTGTCAACCTCAGAGCACACTCTATCAGGGGTATCGCTTTTTTGACTGCTTTACATAATGGTATGTCAATGCAGGATATTTTGCACTGTGGCCGCGTGGTCAACACCCTGCTCATTACTCGCCTTTATTTAGGTGATGTGATGGCCTGTTCCATGACACATTCTGTCCTTAGTGTTTACAGAATGAATATTGTTGTTTCATGGAACTCCGTTTTACTCACATCCGTCTGCATGCATTACAGTGTGAGATGTTATCAATCACAAGTTGTGACTGTTATTTGATTTTATTGTCATTAATCAGTTCACGACTATTGTTACCAATCAGTTCATCTGATTAATAATCAACTCACTTGTTATTATTAATCTGTTCATACGGTTCAGCCGTAAACCGGTTGGTTCATGGCTCTTTTCAGCGTTTTTCCCTCCCCGTTGATGTTTCCGGGGCGTTCATGCATTCAGAATGCATAGTTACACAACATGCGTCTGTGCATGGCCACATAATTATGCAATGCGTAATTATGCACATGGGAGCTGAGTGATTAGACTTTTTTGGGCAAGCTTCTGCTTCATATGGTGTTCGAATGGACCCAGTGAGGCGAGGACCACATCTGCTTCGCCCTTTACCCACTAAAGCGAAGGCCTTAAAGGGAGAAGCCTATACGAAATAGAACGTTGGTTACGTACTGTAACCCCAGATTCTATGAGTATAGGCGTAGCCCTTTAAGTGTCGGGCCTCACTGGCTCCTAAATGGCTGAAGAAAAAAGCTATTTTGGGAGCCTATTTCCCGCTCTTAATGTAATTTATACGGACCGGGTGGAGCCCACACAGCAGGTGGGCGTGGACTAAATTTTTTCAGTGATTATGCTGCGCATAACGGGATAAACCCACTAAAGCGAAGGCCTTAAAGGGCTACGCCTATACTCATAGAATCTGGGGTTACAGTACGTAACCAACGTTTTGCTGGGTGGGTCATCCAGTGATGTAGCACCGCTGGCCAATCAGTGGCTGCTGTCTGCCTATGTCGAAATCAGCAATTCAGAGCAGTCCGCTTGAAACCTGAAACCAGGCGGTCTCATAAACTGGGCTGAGTGGGTACTAGCAGTGGGCAGGCCCTTCACTGGTGAAGTATGGTGTGAAACCAATGAGAGTTGAAACATTGGCAAAGCTCCATAACCGAGAAATTTAACAGACTTCAATCCTAGTACTCTAAACATTTAGTATGAGGTACGATTATAGGTATATATGGGTACATAGATGGGTATATTTTGGCCTGGACTGGTATAGTATGGCCTAGGCTATTTTACACCCACAGGTATAGTTTGGCCTGGGACAGTTAATGCCACAGGGGAAGCTGGCCTGATACTGTTGCACTAGTGGTAATCAGAAGTAGCGACTTTGGTAACAAAAAATGGGGTCATCTTCATCAGCTACTGTGATGAATTTGTTTACTTGATTGTTTTTAAAGACAAGGTGGGTACATGGCTGCATCACAAAGAGCTATAGTTTCTTCACATGTTGATAGCAGTTTTAATTCTTGCACATGTGCGCACATCTCAGATGAACCTGTGGAGTCCTACGAGCACCTGTCTCTGAAGGTCCTGCATCGGTGGGCTGAGATCCCAGCTGTGGGGTGCAAACTGGTACCTGAGCATATAGAGACCAGAACACTGTACAACAAGGCCCGAACTGGAATGGACCAGGTATTTAATTATCAAAACTCACTTTCGTGATAAGCAGCAAGAAAAATATTTGTTAGCACATCTCATAAATCACCAGACAAAATTCAATGAAACTGTCAGAAAGTAATTATTAGAAGAGCATCTACAACTGAGCTTTTGTAGTCTACCTGCTTAAAGATGGCTGCCACAGCTACATTGAACCCAGTTGATAGTTTTGGTTTGACATAATCCATTGGTGTTTTTGTACAAACAAATTAAAAACGTTTGTTTTGCAGTTGCTGCTAGAAGACGAGAAATATGTGCCAGCCATGTGTTCATTTTAGTTTTGATATTTTTTTATGTAGAAATTAGTGTGTTGTTCTCTGATGTTATAAAAACACAGGTAGGTGAGTCTCTCTCTCTCACTCTCTCTCTCTCTCTCTCTCTGTGTGTGTGTGTGTGTGTGTGTGTGTGTGTAGGGTCAGGTCCGGATGTGGGTGGATATGTTCCCCATGGACCTGCCACACCCAGGACCTCCAGTAGACATCTCCCCAAGAAAACCAAAAGGGTGAGGCCCATTCATCTAACAGCATGTTTGCCAATTTTCAAGATGTTTTGTGTTAAGAAACAGGCACATGATGTTATGGTGTGTGTGCGTTCAGGTATGAGCTTCGTATCATCATCTGGAACACAGAGGATGTGATTTTGGAGGACACCAACTTTCTGACGGGTCAACAGTCCAGTGACATTTATGTCAAAGGGTAAAAACATTTATTTTATTTTGACTTGCCCTCTTTTTCTGCTGTTTGCACCAGTTGATTTAAGATGGAGAAGGCTTCATTCACGTTCCTCTGCTGAACTACAATATCCATTATTAAACAACTTCTGATCATACATACAGTTTCTGAAATGGGTGTTTTTCTGGACTGGAATCAGAATCAGAATCAGAATAAACTTTATTGGCATTGCACCGAGATACAACGCGAATATGTCCGTACAGTCGTCCAAAGATGGGCGGTGTGCACAAAGCTGCGGCTAAAATAATCAGTGTGGCCTTCTTATTCTTATTCAGAATAATATTTTGCTTAGATAAGAAAAGGAAAGAAAACATGAGGAGAGACGGTATAAAAAAAAGATCTCTCACTCCATGTCCTAGACAGGGCACGATTTGAGGCATCAAACAAACCTCCCACAGCAAAGCAACATAAACAGACATGATACATGAACATATAGGCGGTGAAAACATTGAATTTTTAAGGGAAAGTCGTAGCATAGTCCAGAGCCCCCCCTCAGCCATTGTCCAGATAAGAGGTGACGTTCATCTTCAGCTCAGTTGAGGTTCTGTCACATGTCCACGGCCTTGGGGAAGGGAGGGGTGAGGAAACAGTCAAAGCATCTTTGTTGTTTCTAAACATTCCAGGAGGAGTTGAGATAAGTCCGGCATCAAGGCCACAGTTTGGGTCAGGCAGAACTCGTAATTGTTGTTTCTGCCTTTAAAGTCTTGCTGGTACATATTCTCTGATGGAAACTCCAAAACAGCCAAATTGATCCTTTACTCCAAAAGTCGAGCTCACAGCTTCTCCGGATTATTCCACCATTCATGAGTGCTGCCAGGGAGATCACAGTCCTGATAACAGCTGCTCCAACTCCCTGTCACAGCTCCACATTCAGTCCGAGCACTGTCAAGCTTCAACACCTCCACACGAATTTGTAGACAACCAGATTCCACCGACCCAAACAGTAGATTCTAGTCGTCATCATAAATCCAATTTGTTCCTTAGAGTTCAGAGGGTCCTCCTTACCCTGACTCCTGTCGGGAGAAGTTGATCGATTTTGTTGAGAGACCAGCTGATCCGTCCAATTAAGAGGTATGCAGGAAAAAAAAGAGAGGCTTTTTTAAGGGTTCACAGGACAAAAGAGAGCAGCAGGGAAGCGGGTGGGGGGGAGAGAGGGAAAACACATCTGGTTTCACCGTAGAATAGCAAGAAAAAAAATTGAGCAAGGAACACAAGTAAACCGTAATGTTTTTGGTGCAAAGTGTTCAAGTTTGTAGGAGGTACTTTGTGGAGAAGAACAGAGGGTTCTGACATGGCAACCCAAAGGAACCATTCTTACACTGCCACACACCAGAATGGAAGTCTGTACTTTTTTCATTCATTCTTACAAGTGAGACCTGTTTGGACAGACAAAAACAGTGGTTAACTGGACACATGTAGGAGTTGGAGGCGAAAAAAATTCCTATCAGACTTTTTTCTTGGCTGAGAAAAATCTCTAAAATTGAAAAAACACCTCGCACAAACAAGCACGTTTACATAGACATTCTGCATCAGAGACGAGAGCAGTCAACAACGCTTATAGATGCTCTAGAGGTCACTGTAATCAGTCAATGTCCTCTGGTGAGATCCATAAACATTCTCGAGGTATGTCGAGAAATGGCCAAGAATAACCTCTATGAGAATCCAGAGTCCTGAAATGATGACACAAAGTTTATTCAGCTGGTTCATCTGGTTATCAGTTGGAAATTCCTTCACTTGTTTTTCAAGTTATCGTGCTCACATCAGGCACGGATGGAGGGTATTTCCACTCAACAATCAGCAGAAGTCTAACAGGATCTTTGAAGTACTTTACCTTCCAGTGAGGTGATCTAACCAAAGACACCTGCTGTTCTCTCATTTTCTGAAGCTGGCTGAAAGGACTGGAACACGACCGGCAGGAGACTGACGTGCACTACAACTCTCTGACCGGAGAAGGAAACTTCAACTGGCGCTTTGTGTTCCCCTTCAGCTACATGCCTGCTGAAAAGGTGCAGACACAATGAACCCCACAGTGGTGTTCGGACCCAGGAGCTCATCTCGCATGTGCTCATTCTTCTCTCCCAGGTTGTGGTCGTAAAGAAAAAGGAACATATTTTCTCTCTGGATAAAACCGAGCGGAAGCTCCCTGCCATCCTCATCCTGCAGGTGTGGGACTTCGAGACGCTCTCCTCGGACGACTTCTTAGGTGAGCGTGTGACTCTCTGCACGTGTACATGTCTGTGCATGTGTCACGGGTTTGACTGTTTGTGATCAGGCACTTTGGAGCTGGACCTACATGAATTTCCTCGTGGAGCCAAAACAGCCAAGTCCTGCAAAACCGACATGATGGCGGAGCTGGGTGAGAGGACCTCCATCTTCCAGCAGAAGAGAGCACGAGGATGGTGGCCTTTCCTGAAAACTGGAGAGCTCACGGTATCTACACCATCACACACACGCACGCACACACACACACACATGCACGTACACACGTGTACATAATTATAAAATCCAACACTCAAAGTCTGACCGAGCACACTTATGTCCATCCTCCAGGGGAAGGTGGAGGCGGAGTTCCATCTTGTAACGGCTGAGGAAGCTGAGAAGAACCCTGTTGGCAAAGCTCGTAAAGAACCGGAGCCGCTACCAAAACCAAAGTCAGTCCCAATACCGGTAGTCCGGTTCATTTTTTACCTAAAAAGCAAGAACATTCTGAGGAAAGATTTAAAATAATGATTCATTTTAAAATATTCTGACCTTTAGCTTGTTTTCACATCAAGGTGAGTCAAATAAAATTCTGACTTCCATTTTGGTGTGCGGCTGCATCGAAAAGTAAGAAAGCTCCCTGTTATAAATGGGGTTGCCAAGTCAAAATCCAAGATGTCCACCACCATGTGAGGAAACTGCGCTTTCTTGTTTTTATAATGGTTACAAGTATGGTATCTTCAAATGCTTGGGGTGCCTGAAGATTAATCTAAGGGGGCCCAGACCACCTTTGCCTACCATTGTAGTGTCTTGAGTGAAGAAGACTCATTTTCAAGAGAGACCTGTTTTATACAAACAAAATCACAGACAACAATAAAAGCAATCAAAACAACACACGTTGCTGGTAGTAAGTCGGACCCCTCCAGGGCTGCTCGTTGTCACAGATTCTGTTCATAAGTTTTATGGACAGAATTTCTCGGTGCAGCCAGGGGGTGGAGGGCGTCCAGTTCAGTGGTCTCAGGATTCATCTCTGCTCTTTGTGGATGATGTGGTCCTGTTGGCGTCATTGCGCTGTGGTCTTCAGCTTTCAGTGGAGCGATTCACAGCTGAGTGTGAAGCAGCTGGGATGAGAACCAGCTCCTCCAAATCTGAGGCCATGGTCCTCAGACAGAAAAGGGTGGCTTGTTCTCTTCAGGTCGAGGGTGAGGTTCTGCCTCAAGTGGAGGAGTTCAAGTATCTTGGGGTTTAGTTCACGAGTGAGGGAAGAATGGAGCGTGAGACTGACAGATGGATTGGTGCATTGTCCGAGGTATTGAGGGCTCTGTACTGGTCCATTGTGATGAAGAGGGAGATGAACTGTAAGGCAAAGCTCTCTGTTTACCGGTCAGTCTGTGTTCCTACCCTCACCTATGGCCATGAACTCTGGGTAGAGACTGAAAGAATGAGATTGTGGATACAGGAGGTTGAAATTAGTTTCCTCCACATGGGACTCTCCCTTAGAGATAGGGTGAGAAGTTCAGTTATCCTGGAGAGACTCGAAGTAGAGTCGTTGCTCCTTCATGTCAAGAGGAGCCAGTTGAGTTGGTTCAGGCCTGTCAAACTGGGAGGAGATCCCGGGGAAGACCCAGGACACACTGGAGAGACTACATCTCTCAGTTGGCCTAAGAACACCTTGGGGTCCTCCCAGAAGAGCTCGAAGAGGCTGTGGAAAGAGATGTCTGGACCTCCCTGCTCAAGCTGCTGCACCGAGACCTGACTTCAGAAGAAGCGGAAGATGGATGGATGGATGGATGGATGGATGGATGGATGGATGGATGGATG